AGATGTGAATATGTTACGTCAGTCACAATCACAGTGAATGTAAAGGAGTTGACACAGATGTGAATAACGTCAGTCTCAACCAAGGTGAATGTAAGTGTTGACACAGATGTCATGTCACGTCAGTCTCATCACAGTGAATGTAAGGGAGTTGACACAGATGTGAATATGTCACGTCAGTCTCAATCAAGGTGAATGTAAGGGAGTTGACACAGATGTGAATATGTTACGTCAGTCTCAACCAAGGTGAATGTAAGGAGTTGACACAGATGTGAATATGTCACGTCAGTCTCACAGTGAATGTAAGGATGACACACAGTGAATGTGAATGTAAGGGAGTTGACACAGATGTGAATATGTTACGTCAGTCTTAACCAAGGTGAATGTAAGGGAGTTGACACAGATGTGAATATGTCACGTCAGTCTCATCACAGTGAATGTAAGGGAGTTGACACAGATGTGAATATGTTACGTCAGTCACAATCACAGTGAATGTAAGGGAGTTGACACAGATGTGAATATGTTACGTCAGTCACAATCACAGTGAATGTAAGGGAGTTGACACAGATGTGAATATGTTACGTCAGTCTCAACCAAGATGAATGTAAGTGCGTTGACACAGATGTGAATATGTCACGTCAGTCTCATCACAGTGAATGTAAGGGAGTTGACACAGATGTGAATATGTTACGTCAGTCTCAATCAAGGTGAATGTAAGGGAGTTGACACAAATGTGAATATGTTACGTCAGTCTCAATCAAGGTGAATGTAAGGGAGTTGACACAGATGTGAATATGTCACGTCAGTCTCATCACAGTGAATGTAAGGGAGTTGACACAGATGTGAATATGTCACGTCAGTCTCAATCAAGGTGAATGTAAGGGAGTTGACACAGATGTGAATATGTCACGTCAGTCTCATCACAGTGAATGTAAGGGAGTTGACACAGATGTGAATATGTCACGTCAGTCTCAATCAAGGTGAATGTAAGGGAGTTGACACAGATGTGAATATGTCACGTCAGTCTCATCACAGTGAATGTAAGGGAGTTGACACAGATGTGAATATGTCACGTCAGGTGAATGTAAGGGAGTTGATACAGATGTGAATATGTCACGTCGGTCTCAATCACAGGGAATGTAAGGGAGTTGACATAGATGTAAATATGTATGCGATAGTGAAGTAACTGAAGGGTGTAAACGTGATACATGCCCAGTCACTTAAGCGTGGAAAAGGTAAGGGGATATAAACGACGATGTTTCATGTTCAAGTACTCACTTGCCGTGTCAGGATGTATCAGGATGCATTATCTGTATCCATACATTCAACCAGCTGCCAGATGGTACAACTGCTTCAAGTTTGCCATGTGCCCCGTGCAGTGCTCAACATAAATTAGAAAACTGTGGTGGGAGTCATGTGATGTAATTGTGGAGGTAACCACACTGCTGCCTGCTATTGATGTGATCAGTACGAGCATGTCGTATCTGTGCTGAAGGCGCAAGAAGAGAAGAGAATGCTGAAGTAATTATTATGGTTACGTCTACACTAACTCCACCGTAGGCAAAATACATCCTTTACAAACCACTTAAAGAAACTTCGGATCCCGAACTATCCTCATTACCTTCATCTCTGGTTCTATCCCTGCCCATGATTGTAGATGTCAGTGTCAGATTCAGACCAGTGTATAGTTAATCCACCTATTGCAGCTCGTCAACACTGCACAGGTGTCCCATCCCCCATCCAGCGTCCTTTTTTGAAGGGGGAGGTGGAGAAGCCAAGTGGTTAAATCGTTCGCTGGTAACGCTAAAGACCTTGGTTCGATTCCCCTGATGGCTACAGTGTGTGAAGCCCATTTCTGATGATACTGCTGGAATATTACTATCAAGTAGATCGCAGCAACCAAATTATATACACCTGAAAAAAGTATCACAAACGTTTCACGATTTCTAACCGCCATATATCCATTTATATTTATATCACAATTGTGCTTGCATGATTTTTTTTTACCCTTCCGTTGCGCTATACATTGGTTTTAGCTACGATCCAAAGCGAACATCATGTACAATACGTGTATCCGTCATTAAGGAAATATCAAATTTCAGTATACAGCTCGATAACTTCGAAAATCATTTGATTTCGTTATTGATAAGCAAATATGGAATATCTTGGAGCAGGGGTTTGATAGGGGTTTATTGATGCCTCTCATGGCTGCAATCATGACCTTGGGACGATGAGACAAAACTTTAATGGACAACGGTACATCTTAGACAGTTGTTGTACCACATTTCGATAACCATCCTTTGAACACAAGGCCAGTCGCCATGGACGACAATGCCAAGCCCAATCGCGCACGACCGTACCGTTGGTGATCTCTTACGTCAAGAGGCGGTAGCAACTCCACCTTCGTCCCGCCAAGATCTCAATCCAATAGAGCATGTTTTCGATATTATTAGTACCAGAATTCTGGAGAGATCCAGTGCAAAATCAGGATCTATTTGAACGCAGTACCTCAACGTCAGATTCAGCGTCTGATACAATGAGGAGGAGGGTCAGGAATGTCATTGCAGTTGCCGGAGGTTACACCAGATGTTGACATTGTGGTCGGTTATTGATACTTGTACGATTGCTTGATGATTTTATGTTGGTATCTTGAACATGACTTTTTAACGGCCATAGTTACCAGCACTAACAATTGAGTCAATCCTTTGCCATGTATGCTTTCCTGAATAAATACAGTTTTTCGTTCTATTTCTTTTTGCTTTTAGATCTGTCATCAAATGTTTCCTTGGAAGTGTGTGTGTGTGTGTGTGCGTGCGTGTGTGCGTGCGTGCGTGCGTGTGTGCGTGCGCGTGCGTGCGTGTGTGTGTTTATTAATATAACCTTACAAGGACCAAGCAATATATCCTCCACGCTGACAATAAAACTCACTTTGTCTGCTCAACTATATTTTCGCATGTTATGTTGTAAATCCTCAAACCCCGAGAAAGACCCTTGAATGTGTGGAGTCATGCGGTAAATCTTTTCTTCTCCATGTTTATGGAGGCATTATTGTCAACAGGTTTGCTGATAAAAAACATTATTTACAACCGTTTCTTTTGTGGTATTGTATAAAGGTCTGTCTCGCATAGAAGTCTAGCATTCGATCAATGTTGGAGAGAAATATTGCATGCAAATATCGCTGACAGTAGTAGTAGTCCTGACAACTACATCAACTGAGAGAGCCACTTTTGTTGCCCTGGGAAAGGGGCTAGGTGGGGCCCTGATACGGGCGTTGTCGGGTGGGTGGGGTGGTCTGTCGTTATTTATTTCATTGTGCTGTGCAGAGTATCAGGGCTGTATCGTATGCCGTGTCTGCTGTATGCGTATGTCGTATGTGTGCGGTAATCGTTTGTCGATAAAGAGGATACAGGGCATTATGCGTATGCCGTGTCTGCTGTATGCGTATGTCGTATGTGTGCGGTAATCGTTTGTCGATAAAAGGATACAGGGCATTATGCGTATGCCGTGTCTGCTGTATGGGTATGTCGTATGTGTGCGGTAATCGTTTGTCGATAAAAAGGATACAGGGCATTATGCGTATGCCGTGTCTGCTGTATGGGTATGTCGTTGTGTGCGGTAATCGTTTGTCGATAAAAAGGATACAGGGCATTATGCGTATGCCGTGTCTGCTGTATGCGTATGTCGTATGTGTGCGGTAATCGTATGTCGATAAAGAGGATACAGGGCATTATGCGTATGCCGTGTCTGTTGTATGCGTATGTCGTATGGGCATTATGCGTATGCCGTGTCTGCTGTATGCGTATGTCGTATGTGTGCGGTAATCGTATGTCGATAAAGAGGATACAGGGCATTATGCGTATGCCGTGTCTGCTGTATGCGTATGTCGTATGTGTGCGGTAATCGTAGGTCGATAAAGAGGATACAGGGCATTATGCGTATGCCGTGTCTGCTGTATGCGTATGTCGTATGTGTGCGGTAATCGTAGGTCGATAAAGAGGATACAGGGCATTATGCGTATGCCGTGTCTGTTGTATGCGTATGTCGTATGTGTGCGGTAATCGTATGTCGATAAGAGGATACAGGGCATTATGCGTATGCCGTGTCTGTTGTATGCGTATGTCGTATGTGTGCGGTAATCGTATGTCGATAAGAGGATACAGGGCTGTTTGCGTATGTCTAGTCTGTTGTATGCGTATGTCGTATGTGTGCGGTAATCGTATGTCGATAAGAGGATACAGGGCTGTCTGCGTATGCCGTGTCTGCTGTATGCGTATGTCGTATGTGTGCGGTAATCGTATGTCGATAAAGAGGATACAGGGTTGTATGCGTATGCCGTGTCTGCTGTAATCGTATGTCAAGACAGAAAGTTAATGGCTTGTGTCAAAGTGACATTTTGTCTCTCTCTACTTTGTGATACTTATCAAGCTCAGATATTGTTTGTTGTAATTTGGGTATTCATTCACTGAAAGAAAATAGAATTTGAGTTAGCAGACAAATATTAACATACGTTATATTTGTGATTACACTGTCCTAGTAAAGTACAAGGCGGCGGAATCCCGGATGGGACTGAACCCAAAAAGGTACTAGAATTTGTACTTTATTAGGAATATGTAATCCCAAATATGCCATATGTTACATTAGACCACTTTTAAATGGCATTGTGTAATCACAGATAAATATTGTAATCATAACTGACATATCTAACTTGCTCGTACTGTTCGTATGTTGACCACTTTTAGTATACAACCAACACGAGCTTAAGTGTGTACTGATCAGCAAAGACAGTTCCTATACTTTCACGTCTGAGTTAAATCCCTTCTGTTCGAACCTAGTGACGTGCTGCCCCACCCCCTAGCCTGCCTGCACACCTCCCCCATGTCTAAAACTAGCTATCAGGTTACTGTATAGTGCCACCCGACCCCCTCAAAACACTCCACAGTCGGGATACCGATATGCCACAACGCCGCTCAGACAACATAAGCCTTTGTATAGGACAGTCTTCACTCTCGACAAACACTTTAAAAGCCATATTTTCAACAACATTGTGATCGAAGCTTCTACCGGCTTCAAAGAAATTGAAATGAAAACACAAGGCGACGTGGACGTAAAATTAGTCATGTGACCCGTCTGAGCTTACGTACGGCGCTTAAATACTGAAATACTCAAGAAGTTATAATTTGTGTGTTGCTCCTAGGAACAACGGGCCATGTCAGTTGAGTATTGATCAACTGATTGTGTATGACGCTCAGGTAGAAGCAGGTACAACACAGGTAACAGAGGGAGGATTCCAGAAGAGCCGGAAGACATGCAACCGTGAGTAGAATTCTGATAGGATTTATTGTATTTATGTAGATTTAAAACCGTTAGATTGCCTATATTTGTATTGGTTTATGTATATAAGTATTTGTTTAGAAGGAAACTGATTGCCTGTTGGTTCATGATATTGATTTATGAGATCAAGGAAGTTTTATGAATCTTGCCCTTTGATTTGGCAGCTATTGACAAAAACACATAACTGACATGGGTTTGTGGTTACCGTTTCAATTGCGTGGAACAATTATTAGTCAGCTAGATCTAATCTGCTAATCAGCATACGGTCGCCGTTGATCTCTGGGCATAGTTTGGGTCATATACATGTTTAGAGTTACTGAAATGTAGTGTTGAATCTTACAAGGCCTCGTGTGTTGTATCAGACTGTCAAAGAGGAAATGGCAAGGAATATATTATAAAGGAAAAGCGATCGTTATTGAGACGACTCAAATATTGAGTAGATAATGAACATAATCAAATTAAAACTGATACATCCATTAATGACTTTAGGTATAAGATATGTGTCTCGCGAAAGCGGCACACATGAGATCCAGGAGGTTAGCTCAACTATAGATCCTTCAGAAACTGACACATACAAAATTCTCATTGGTTTCGTTATTGGTGGTTATTTAGCTGCAGCCAAGACCTGAGATGAACATCAAGACAGGGGCGTCAGACCAGTATAAGACATATACACCAGAGTCGCCCTAAATATGGGCATCCCCTAGCTGACGCCATGCCCTGTTGATCGGAAGCCACGTCCTCGAGATTCGCTCCTTTAAAGGACTCAAGAGCCACTCATAGTATTATTTTAGTTAAACTGTGTGACCTTTTGTTATGTGTGAAATATCTCATGTCTCAGAAAATGACGACCAATAGAGAAGTGTGTATTGCCCTATTGTATGTATACTTCTATAAACGCATCAGATGTATAGATCCTCCGTCTTGAGAACGGAAGACCCCGGATGCCCTATTGTATTTATACTTCTATAAACGCATCAGATGTATAGATCCTCCGTCTTGAGAACGGAAGACCCCGGATGCCCTATTGTATTTATACTTCTATAAACGCATCAGTGTGTAGATGCTCCGTCTTGAGAACAGAAGACCCCGGATGCCCTATTGTATTTATACTTCTATAAACGCATCAGATGTGTAGATGCTCCGTCTTGAGAACGGAAGACCCCGGACGCCCTATTGTATTTATACTTCTATATACGCATCAGATGTGTAGATGCTCCGTCTTGAGAACGGAAGACCCCGGGTGCCCTATTGTATTTATAATTCTATAAACGCATCAGATGTGTAGATGCTCCGTCTTGAGAACGGAAGACCCCGGACGCCCTATTGTATTTATACTTCTATATACGCATCAGATGTGTAGATGCTCCGTCTTGAGAACGGAAGACCCCGGATGCCCTATTGTATTTATACTTCTATAAACGCATCAGATGTGTAGATGCTCCGTCTTGAGAACGGAAGACCCCGGATGCCCTATTGTATTTATACTTCTATATACGCATCAGATGTGTAGATGCTCCGTCTTGAGAACGGAAGACCCCGGATGCCCTATTGTATTTATACTTCTATATACGCATCAGATGTGTAGATGCTCCGTCTTGAGAACGGAAGACCCCGGATGCCCTATTGTATTTATACTTCTATATACGCATCAGATGTGTAGATCCTCCGTCTTGAGAACGGAAGACCCCGGGTGCCCTATTGTATGTATACTTCTATATACGCATCAGATGTGTAGATCCTCCGTCTTGAGAACAGAAGACCCCGGATGCCCTATTGTATGTATACTTCTATATACGCATCAGATGTGTAGATGCTCCGTCTTGAGAACGGAAGACCCCGGGTGCCCTATTGTATTTATACTTCTATAAACGCATCAGATGTGTAGATGCTCCGTCTTGAGAACAGAAGACCCCGGATGCCCTATTGTATTTATACTTCTATAAACGCATCAGATGTGTAGATCCTCCGTCTTGAGAACGGAAGACCCCGGATGCCCTATTGTATTTATACTTCTATAAACGCATCAGATGTGTAGATCCTCCGTCTTGAGAACGGAAGACCCCGGATGCCCTATTGTATTTATACTTCTATATACGCATCAGATGTGTAGATGCTCCGTCTTGAGAACGGAAGACCCCGGGTGCCCTATTGTATTTATAATTCTATAAACGCATCAGATGTGTAGATGCTCCGTCTTGAGAACGGAAGACCCCGGACGCCCTATTGTATTTATACTTCTATATACGCATCAGATGTGTAGATGCTCCGTCTTGAGAACGGAAGACCCCGGGTGCCCTATTGTATTTATACTTCTATATACGCATCAGATGTGTAGATGCTCCGTCTTGAGAACGGAAGACCCCGGATGCCCTATTGTATTTATACTTCTATATACGCATCAGATGTGTAGATGCTCCGTCTTGAGAACGGAAGGAAGACCCCGGATGCCCTATTGTATTTATACTTCTATATACGCATCAGATGTGTAGATCCTCCGTCTTGAGAACGGAAGACCCCGGATGCCCTATTGTATTTATACTTCTATAAACGCATCAGATGTGTAGATCCTCCGTCTTGAGAACGGAAGACCCCGGATGCCCTATTGTATGTATACTTCTATATACGCATCAGATGTGTAGATCCTCCGTCTTGAGAACAGAAGACCCCGGATGCCCTATTGTATGTATACTTCTATATACGCATCAGATGTGTAGATCCTCCGTCTTGAGAACGGAAGACCCCGGGTGCCCTATTGTATTTATACTTCTATAAACGCATCAGATGTGTAGATGCTCCGTCTTGAGAACGGAAGGCCCCGGATGCCCTATTGTATTTATACTTCTATATACGCATCAGATGTGTAGATGCTCCGTCTTGAGAACGGAAGACCCCGGGTGCCCTATTGTATTTATACTTCTATAAACGCATCAGATGTGTAGATGCTCCGTCTTGAGAACAGGAAGACCCGGGTGCCCTATTGTATTTATACTTCTATAAACGCATCAGATGTGTAGATGCTCCGTCTTGAGAACGGAAGACCCCGGACGCCCTATTGTATTTATACAGATGTGTAGATGCTCCGTCTTGAGAACGGAAGACCCCGGGTGCCCTATTGTATTTATACTTCTATAAACGCATCAGATGTGTAGATCCTCCGTCTTGAGAACGGAAGACCCCGGGTGCCCTATTGTATTTATACTTCTATATACGCATCAGATGTGTAGATCCTCCGTCTTGAGAACAGAAGACCCCGGGTGCCCTATTGTATTTATACTTCTATAAACGCATCAGATGTATAGATGCTCCGTCTTGAGAACGGAAGACCCCGGTGCCCTATTGTATTTATACTTCTATAAACGCATCAGATGTGTAGATGCTCCGTCTTGAGAACGGAAGACCCCGGGTCCCCTATGTATTTATACTTCTATAAACGCATCAGATGTAAAGATCCTCCGTCTTGAGAACGGAAGACCCCGGGTGCCCTATTGTATTTATACTTCTATAAACGCATCAGATGTGTAGATCCTCCGTCTAAAGAACGGAAGACCCCGGATACCCACCGTGTATGCGTCATACCAAAAGACGTTAAAATATGGTAATTGTTGTTCCCCTGCCTGGCGCCCGCCTTCAGTGGGATTCAACCTTGCCTGGGCGGCAGGGTAGTGGTATGTGGTAGTGGTATGCGCACGCACACCAAACACACACACGCATGCACGTACGCTAAACAAACCATACAGTAACCAAACACACACACACACACACACCAAATACACACCGAACACATACGCACGTACGCACGCACAGCAGTAGACGTAGGGAAATATCCACGCCTCGATTAGTTATGTTGTTAGTTTTCCCAAATCTTGAGATAATGAGGTAATTACTGATTGATTATTGGATGTGTGCTGGTGCCTGGAACAGAATGGCTGGCGTCAGTCTGGTACTTCCGGCAGGTAATGGCTTGCTGTGTCGCATATCCTTCATGGTCGTCTCTCACACGGAAACCATTACTTGTGTCGTGCTTACCTGTCAGTGAAAATTCTTATTTTTTCTTATTTGTTTTCCGATTCTTTAAATATTCATCTCCATATGTCTATACTGGCCACGTCCTGCAGTGACGACCGTGCGTATCGACCGATGAAGCAAAACAGGCGGTTACCTTACTGATCTGGCCCCGGGATCATGACAAAATGTGCGCCTGAAAACAAAATTGGCACCAAAAAGGGTTTAAGACTGGTAGGTAGCAGTCTCAGGATTTAAGACAAAAACATTTTTGGACTTAAGATCAAAATGACAGATTTAAGCGATTTTTAGACTTAAGTCACTTTCATGACCCCGGGGCCTGGACACGTTCATCTCGTTTAGGCTTCCTACATTATATGCAGGAATACCAATTCGCCAAAAAGTCATATTTTTGTTTCTTTGTGAGTTTATCTACCGGATCTAGCCTTGTTTGATCGTGTATTGCATCGGAACAATCGTTTAATGATGTACAAGAAGATCATTACTTTGTGCATATTTTTATAATCTTGTCCATCCGGGTATGTATACTGAACTACAAAAGAAACGTCGCTTTTTCCAAACCAAATGCAAGATTTTGTTTTTGCAAATGGAGTTTTTATTATGATTGTATCATTTTGTTAACATGTTTTTTCAATCCAAATTGACAGTTATTACCAACATCAGTGTGTTTTCTGATGAAAAAACATATCAACCAAACGCACCTAAAAAGGAAGACGTGGTAAAAGGTTTCGTATGACATTCGTGAAAATGAAAATGCACGTGCGTATCTTGACAACCCTACCAGTGAAAGCAAGTCTCAAACTCGCCTGAAATCATTTTTGTTTTGAATCAATTGCCATGGCACGACTTACGAGAGATCAGAGGAATCAAGTCTTGGGAAGATTACAAGTTGGCCAGACTGCACGGATAGAAGCCATCATTTTAATGTTCATGTTAGGACAATCTACCGACTACAG